AAAATTATTTTCTTGTTCAGTTTCACTATCTTCTTCAGAAGAACTATAATTTAATGCTACTCTAAATTTTTTTATTCGCTCTATCTCCTCATTATCTATTTCTTGTTCTGTTTCATGTTCTACTTCTTCATGTTCTGATTCTTGCTCATTTCTTTGTTCAATATTACTTGCTAAAAATAATGTAGTTAAATCTTCAGCAGATGACATTGATATATTAAAGCTTTGACTAGTAGATAATAATGGTTCTCTAGTTTCTTTGTTACTATTATCAATAGAATGATCTATTCTTCCAAATTGTTCTTGTCGATGCAATCTTTCTGTTTGAGTACTCACAATTTTTCCACTTTCACCACAAATAGTGCAATAACACCAAACCATATTTGTTTTACAAATAAAAAATATGATAAAGTTTTAATATTAATTATAACTTTGTGATAGATTTTAAAAAACTAAATATATTTCCTATTTTGATTTAAAAATAACTAATTTTGTGTTATTGCTAGAAAAAGCAAATATAGAAAATGTTTTTTAATATTATATATAGTTTTTAGCAAAAATCAAGCTTAGCTTTTGCTATTTTAAAAATAATTTCACATTATACATTTATGTTTTAATATTCAGAATGTATTTTTAGTTAATGATAAATTTAAACCACAATCAAATATATGTTTTCACTATATTAAAAAAATATTGAATTTTTTTTAATATTATAAATAGCTTTTAGCAAAAATCAAGCTTGGCTTTTGCTATTTAAAAAAGAAATTTAATTATAACTTACAATTATATATTTAATATTTAGATTTATATTTTCTATACTATTTTTTTACATTTTTTTGTTAAGAATAAGAGTGTGTGTTGATTTATTTCTCTTCTATTTATATATAGCAGTTTACTATATTAAACTACAAATTAATGACATACTTTTAATTATGTATAGTAGTTAGTTTATATAAACTATAATAACCTTTGCACATATGTATAATCTTTGTATATATGAATGTATATTAAAAAACAAATTAATGACATACTTTTAATTATATATATACAGTATAAACTATAATAACCTTTATATATATGTATAAAATTTGTATATAAAAATGTACATAATGAAAATTATCATATCAATGTATTCCTACTCATACACTGTTGTAATTAGGGAGAGTCTTAATTTTGCAGCATCAATTTAGCTCAGAGTAAGTATATAAGCCCAAGTTCAAGTTGTAAAAGAAGGTAAATTATTTAAATAGTGTTGTTCTATGAATTATATCACAATGAGATTGTTTTATAAGTAAATAAATACCTTTGAAGAATAAAAAAAAATAAGTAAATAAATATATATGTATAGTAATGTTTAAGGTTATCAGTCTAGCCAAAATTTAGGCTATGTGATAGATTAAGATCAAATTTCCAAATACAAAGTATATAAAACATTATAAGCTAGCAGCATGCTAAATAAAAGTTATAATTAGTTTAAGGTTATTTTTAGATTTTATTTTTTAATTTGGATATAGGTAGGGCTATCTAGTTTTTTATTTGTTGGAGCATCATTATCGATTATATTTTATCAGGTCTTATATTTATTTTTACCTGTGACAATATTAATATAATAAGCGCATACATAACCAATTGTATTAAACTATATAATTATAACAAAAATATAAAATTTGTTCATTTATATTTGAATATTAGATAATTAAAATTATATATTTAAGTTTAGAAAAGCAAGATTCGATTTTGTAGAATATCTTTCCTTTATAAAGCATGCACATTAATCTATATAGTAAATATTGATTATCATAGTTAAAAT